TCCATCACTCTGATTTTTTTCATTTTACTGTCAAATTGGTTTTCAACTGATATCTGATATCATTTTCTCGCAATAGCTGGTGATTGGTTGCAGGGTCCTTATGTCTACTACCTATACACAACATATGGATATGGGAAGGGTGATATTGGCCATCTTTTTATTGCTGGCTTTGGATCTTCCATGCTGTTCGGGACAATTGTAGGATCCTTGGCAGACAAACAGTATGCCTGCTATATCTTAATGTTGATTGGTCTTCTTTTTATTTTGGATATGTTACAGTCACACTCAAACTTTTTTTAGGGGTCGAAAGCGGGCTTGTGTCACATACTGCATCACTTATATTTTGAGCTGTATTACCAAACATTCTCCTCAGTACAAAATCTTGATGGTGGGCCGTATATTAGGAGGAATTGCCACTTCTCTCCTATTCTCATCCTTTGAGTCTTGGCTTGTTGCAGAGCATAATAAGGTGCTTAAATTATTCTATTATGACTTCAAAGGTTCAAATTGCCTTGGTGTTCTATTGAGATCCTACGATATCGACAAATTCTTCTATTAATTATTACAGTACTATTTTGATGTTAGGGAGTTTTTAATAATAAAAAGCTTTATTTTCATTCTTGAGAAATAAATCAGCAATATGTTCTTCCTTAACTTTATTTTCTTCCTTGATTTTTTGTATCCTATCTTGCAGAGGGCCTTTGATCAACAATGGCTATCACTAACATTCTCAAAAGCAATATTTCTTGGCAATGGTCTTGTGGCTATTTTGGCTGGGCTTTTTGGAAATGTTCTTGTGGACACACTAAATCTGGGTCCCGTTTCTCCTTTTGATGCTGCTTCATGTTTCCTTGCTATTGGTATGGCCATTATACTGTCGTCTTGGACTGAGAATTATGGTGATACTTCAGAAAACAAAGACTTAATTACCCAATTCAAGGGTGCTGCTGTGGCAATTGCTTCTGGTAATTTTCGAAGCTTTACTCTTTGCTCCCTTCTTCTAACCTGTTCATCTATGCAGAGAAGTAGATCATGTTGTGTTCTAGTAAAAGAAAAAAAGAGATTATAATACAAAACGGAGAGACTTTTATGATTCCTCATGTGCATGTCCTTAGTACTGCAAAATTTCAATACAATGCAGCTTTTCAAAATTATCCGACCCATCTGCAGTTGGTTACAATCTTATTCAACTTTTCTGTGTTGTTTGAAGGTTTTCTAATAAACATATTACAAATTGAATAACTTTATTTTGCTTTGTAATGTATTTGTGAGGCTTCTCTAACAGTTCTTCTCATATGTAATCAGATGAGAAAATTGCATTGTTGGGTGCTATACAGTCACTATTTGAGGGTTCAATGTATACTTTTGTGTTTCTATGGACTCCTGCTCTGAGCCCTAATTCAGAGGAGATTCCTCATGGCTTCATCTTTGCGACTTTCATGTTATCTTCCATGTTGGGCAGCTCCCTTGCATCTCGATTACTAGCTCGCTCATCTCTCAAAGTCGAAAGCTATATGCAGATTGTTTTTGCAGTATCTGCTGTCTGTCTCTTTATCCCTGTCTTGACAAGTGTAAGGAAGATAGGGCTGATTTTATCAAATGTGTAACTGTGCAGGTGTTGTAATTCTATTGTTTCTCACTAAATCCACTTATTTTTACCTTAAACAGTTCTTGGTGACACCTTCTACTGAAAAAGGTGGAGGCATTACTTTCTCTGGCTGCATTCAGCTTCTTGGCTTTTGTGCATTTGAGGCTTGTGTCGGAATATTTTGGCCTTCTATAATGAAAATGAGGTCCCAATACATTCCTGAAGAGGCTAGAAGCACAATCATGAACTTTTTCCGCATTCCTCTCAATATCTTCGTGTGCGTTGTGTTGTACAATGTGAGTTATCTTTCCCAATTGTTACACCAACCAAAATAAAATTGGAGTATCAAATTTCACCAATGAACTGTGGGATCCAAGGAATTGTTCTTTTAATGTTTACTAATCAAATTTTCTCTTATTCAGGTCGACTCATTTCCAATTACTGTTATGTTCGGCATGTGCTCAATTTTCCTCTTTCTGGCATCAGTCTTGCAGAAACGCCTCTCTGCTGTTGTTGAAAAGTCAAGTAAGAATTGTTTCCCATTAATTTTTCAAGTTCTTACTCTGAGTTTGAGAGAAATGTTAGCCCAATGAATGATTCATCAGTGGAGATACGAGATCATGTGACAAATAGTTAACTCTGTTATGTTAATATAGTTTTGGAGCCCAATATTTTCTTCCGTGGAAAAGTCTCTTGCAGAACTGCAAGGTAAGGCTTTGTACAATAGAGCATTGTGGTCCTGCCTTTCCTTGGACCACCCGAGCATAGCAGGAGCTTAATGCACCATGCTGCCCCTTTAATATTTTCTTCAGTACAAGGCTCAACTGTGTCTTAGATTCATTCAGCTCACTGATATATGATTTTTCCTTGGTTGATGCATTTGCAGGACCTCAAGATTGGGCAACACACAAGGAGAGAGAAATGGAAACTGCACCTCTAAATGCCTGAGTTGATGAAGTTTCTGGGACGCGTTAATTCAGCGAGACCATGCAGCAGAAAACAACTATCAGTTTTCTATTCAAAGTATCAATAGGTAAATAGAGTGCTATTTATGAACTACAACACAACACACCTGTGGTTATTTCTCATCAGAAGGATATGAAGAAGTTACCTTCATTACAGCATGAAAATAGGGGTGGGTATCCTTCTATCAATATGTGAAAGCTGATGCAGAGTTGCAGCTACACTGCATATTTGCCAGTTTTTGGAATTTATTTTAATTCATTTATTAGTTTCTCTCTCATATGTTGAGGACAACGTTTTTGCAGTCATGTTATATTTACTATGAATAATACTCTTTTTTTTTTTAATCTTGGTATAGAAATACTCCTGGCTAAAATTTTAAGCAAGATAGCTATTTCATTTACAATAAGAACATACATAGTTCGTCTAATCCCTCCCACAAGAATAAACTATATCGGAGGGGAGCGGAAAATCACTTGACTGGGGTCATTTGGTGTGAGGTGTAAATAAATAATCTCGAGAGTGTCTTGTTTGGTTGTCATGTTTGGATAACTTATCCCACCTTTTATACCATAGTCATGGGATAAGTTATCTCATATATATGGTGGGATAAGTTATCCCTGGATAACTTGTTTCCAACCAAACGACCCCCGATAAAAGGTTGGCCACTTGTCCACCCTAGTCAAGTGAAAAAAATACAGTAGAATCTAGTGATGCACATTACTTTTGTGCATTCTGGCAGCAAGGAAAGAAAGAGGAGCGACAGGGTCTAGTTTAGATTTGACGGTTTGCAGCATGTAAGTAGGAAAAAAAAACAATTTCGGCCTTCGCAACATATAGGTTAATTCATTTGGATCGGTTAGTTTCTGTCTTTAAGTTCGATGGGTGGATAATCAGATGGCTAGCTGACGTAGAAAGACACAGAAAATCAGATGGCCTTTTAGATCTCATTTGTTATTCCAAATGTGTTAGTAATCATTTATAATGGGTGATAAGCATGAGAGGATCTTGTGTTTAAGATTAATTGGCCGAGAAGGTTTGCAAAGTATGTGCTATGGTGAAGCGAAAGATCGTGATGAAGCAACTAACAGTAACATTAACCAAAGGTTTAGGTGAGTTTGTCGATTGAACGAGTCCACAATATAGGTCCCTAAAGGCAGACCAAACTTTGCAACTTAACAAAAAACAATCAATGTGCTTTATTTTAAGATCAAATATATGTTGACTTTCACCAATGTTTAATTAGAAGTGGCTCTTTGGGATCCCCAACATCCTATGCTTTTTCTTTTGGTTCTTGTGTTGACTGAGATAAGTTTAATCTTAACTAAGAAAATGAAATGAAATGAAATAAAATAAATAATTGCAAAGGGCACATGGTGACATGTTTTGTATAAAATAAACTAAACTAAAATTATATGTGCATACTGAAAAACCATATGGTGGTGTAGTCCTTTCTAATCCCATGTTAAGCTGCATCCAGTGCTTCTTTGTCCAACTGTCCATGTGACATTGTTGTTTATAACAACAATTGACCCTACACAAACACAACCTCAAACTTTCATTTGTTCTTTTCCTTCACATCCCCTTTTGACGGTGAACACCTTGATATGCAATTACATGTTATTATACAATTATATATACATTTATTGGTCCAATAAATCAATAATAGTATTATGTTCGTTTGAATAATTTTTTTACGTCGAGCATGGATATTTTTTTGTAAGATTCAAAATTATGGGTTTTTTTATTTATAAATATTCGAGTCAAATTTTATATTTAAAAAAGAAATTAAAATCACAATTTGGAATTTAAAATTTTACTTTGTCGAAGAATTTGAAGTCGAAATTTTACATAAAACTGATTTGAATCAGACTTTCTGTTATCCTTAGCCCTTTTTCCATAACATTCTCGGTTGCCTCCGGTTCAATAGATCGGTTTCCCTCTAGTCAGTGCCTAGTCAAGCTATGGAACTAGGTGTACACTGTCACGTCAAGACAGAAGTGAGATACCAACTTTCACAAGAGGAAAATATCACTTCATTATGCAGAGGAGCAGTGTTCATTCAGCTAGCAATTCCATACGAGTAAAAAATCGTAGCTTAAAATTGACATGAACCTTCGGTTAAATAATCTAATGAAAAAACATTGTTCACATTCCTGATTGCAATAAAAACTTTTTCCTTGTAATATACTAACTTCCGCATCTTCTCTTTCGTATTTATCTTTAGTAAAAGAAAAATAAGAGCAATCTATTAAATGATTGTTATAAAGAGCGATCGATGGAATGAGTATTATTTAGAAGTGGACCCTAATCCTATGTTCCAATGCCTATCAAGTAAGAGTATTATATTATGGAAAGGATAAAGGGCATTCTAGTAAATATACTCTTTGTGTTCCACTGTGTGAACCAAATCAGTATTATTAGCTACCATTTCTCTCTTCTAATATTTAGTGACTCAATTTTGACAAAAAAGAAGAAAAAAGAAAAGGCTAAAGAGAGGAGAAGCTATGGCTACTCTTAGAAATCCAAGAAAATACCAATCTTTGATCATTCTTTTTCAGTTCTTTCTGTTAATACAAATCCAATTAGTGTTCTGTTATCAATACAAAGTTGGAGATTTAAATGCTTGGAATATACCCTCTTCTGCAAATAAAGATGTCTATCTCAAATGGTCCAAGAATCACATCTTCAAGCTTGGAGATTCAATCTGTAAATCTACATTTCTTGCTCAGATCTTCAAGATTTTACCATTTTTTGATACCCTTTGTAAAAATATTCAACCCCATCAATCTACTTTATTGAATTAATTTGTTGTTCTTTTTTGCAGTGTTTTTGTACCCACCAAGTGAAGATTCAGTAATACAGGTAACAAAACAGAATTACAACAGTTGCAACCTTAAAAATCCAATCTTGTACATGAACAATGGGAATTCTCTGTTTAACATTACAAGACCTGGAGAGTTTTACTTCACAAGTGGAGCAGAAGGGCATTGTGAGAAGTTGCAGAAACTTCATATTTCAATTGGAGGAGGAAATGGAACAAGTTATGATGAAGCAGATTCACCTGCTTTTGCTCCATCACCTTCTTACACTAATGTTTTTGGTTCAATTCCTGTCCAATCTTCTAATTCAACCTCTGCTTCGTCTTCTGGGAAAGTTGAAATCTCTGTTTTTGCTGCTGTTGGATTGCTCTTTCTTACTCTGTTTATAGGAAGCACTATTCTTTAGAAAACGGGACAGGGCATTTTGGATTTTGGGTTTTGGAGATTCCACTCATATTTTTTTGTGTATTGAGGCGTTATTTATTTTTACTTTTCATGTTGTTAAATTTGTGAAAGAGTTCATTCATTATGATTATATAAGTTTCTTGATGGAGCTTCCCAATTTGCCTTTGAGCAAAATTACTGAATTTCTTGTATAATATTTTAGTAGCCATAGTGTCATCATAAAGGTTTAAAAAAGGTAAAGATATATTGTTAGGATTTAAACTTCAAACCTCAAAACAAATTTTAAACCTAAGTAACGATCTAATCTTGTGTTGGGTGGATTCAAAATCCCTATGTAAATGTAAAAAGTAGGGGGGGGAAATTACCTTGAGTAATTTTTTTTTACCGAAGAAGTTCAGATAAATAACCTGATAAAGGAGTTATTGTTCAATCAACATTCCACCAAATCAAAGTACAGTTCGGAAGATTGAGCAACAGCTCATAATTAAGGTAACATTTAATTCTCACTTTATCTTTTATTTTATTTTTTCCTTTATTCTCAACGAGTAACCCCCACAGAAACTAAAATAGAATAAAGTAAAACACTCAATTTTAAAAATTACTAATATATATCAATTTAAAACAAAGGGGAGGTATAGCACCAAAGGGGAAAAAAGGCCCACAATTTGAGGATTTCAAGACTTTCCTCTTTTGAATATTTTGAGAGAAAAGAAAAAGATAGCATTGGTTTAATAGTATAACTCAAATAGACAAGTAAACATTTGAGCCCACTATTAATATTATATGTAACATATGCATGCTAGCTGGAGCCAGCATTTCACCGACAACACTTGTGCTATTCCTCGTGAAAAAGGGCAGTTGATTTAATTATCTTCAATTAAAAAAATAATTCCCACACAGTCCACTTCCGACTAAAATTGAATCGCACCCGCAAAACCCATTCATGGGTGGTACTCCCAGTATCTTCATTAAACAGTGTGTGTTCTGATAAAAAACTAAGATACCAACACTAAATGCATGTTACTAAATAAAATTTTACTGACTCGTGTATGTTGAGCTATGATGGTAGATTACATTGCAACCAAAAACTTGGGTCATCCGTTCACTAAGTGGACTAAGAGATATATGTGTGCTTACAAGTTACATGTAAAACACCCACTACCTGTACTTCGAGGAAACAACAAAGAAAGGTAGCAGTACGTTTTATCAACTATTATACTTGAGGGGACTACTGTAAGGCTGCTTTTTGATGGTTAACAGTGACTTGTCCGGCCGCCTGAGAATCTTGATGGAAGTAGTACTCCACATCCACCTGCAAAATCTTGTGGACAGGTGGAAACAGTACAGGGATAAATAACTAGTTCTATGACAAAGTTCTTAGCTAGTCATCTCCACATCACGGTTTACTGGTTTTCCTTCAGTTGCATAGGCTGCTGCATCTGGAGGTGTAGCCTCAGTGACCTGTGTCCCTGCAGCCTTTAATTCACCCCCAGCAAATGTATTCCTTATTTGATTAGAACTTGAATCTACTTCCATTGCAGATGGCCTTGGAGGTGATGCAGGTTGCACCTCCACATCTGGATATGCAGCCTTGAACCGCGCCCTAAGCCCTTCATCAACTAATCGTACCCCTTGTAGTTGGTTTCCAAGTGACATCCACCTGATACATATATGGATCGTTACACTGACAATTTATCTTAACTGAAGGGAAATCAAGAATATGAAGACATTAATTTTTTTCTCTAGGAGTGGTGTCTAATTATGTCTTACTCTTCACTAATAAAAAGATCTTGAGGATTTTTCTGTTTTTAAAACAACGAAAAAACATTAAAAAAATCAGGGAGAGGAGGATTAATTAGTATTCCACTAAATATGGACATATTGTTAAGCTTTAATTATTGAATTGAAAAAAGAACAGAGTATCTTGAAATTGTACTAGTAATTTTTGACTCACTTAAGAGTAGGATCATAATAGTATGTTCTAAGATATCATAAGGAACAAGTTGTTAAACCAAGAACATAAATTATTAGAAGTTCAAAGCCCATAACAATTCCCTCTATATGTGATCGCAGAGGTGCAACATTCTTAAAAATCATGTCTATTAGACTCATGCTTGGAGATCTACAAGTAGATCAAGAATGTAGTCTATTTTTTCAGAGCTCACATTTTCACTCCTTTTGTAATTAACGCATCTTCTTGATGCCTTTGATGATTTCATCGGAAAGAAAATAGATCAAGAATGCATACCCGCCATGAACATTGTGCATCCGAGCAAATAACTCCAGCTTTCTTGTCCTTGGACTAATTCTTTCGAGCAAGGGGTACATCTGATATGTCAAAACAGAAGCATAGTTCATGTATATAACCCAACAGCACAGGTCAAAGTATCAACCAAAATAAGAATAGATGCTAAAGTACTAACATAGAATCACAACAATTGAACTTAACCCAACACTAAAATGATATTACAGACATTTTTAAAAAATAAGGTTATTGCATGAGCACCAACAAATGTGTATTGCTTAGAAGCTTTCAGTTTCTAGATCTTGTTTCTTTTCATTCGTTTCCCAAAAGAAGAAAATAATCAAGTTTTTCTCACCTCATCTGGCTTACGACTTGTTTCCCGAACCTCTGCTACTATGACATCAGTATCAATATTCCTGTTCACCTCTGGATTTCCCTTTATTCCAACAAGGCAATGTTCCTTGCTGTGATTGAGCCAATGGCCTGTCCGTCCAGTTCTGATGATTCGCTGAAGTTGATTGGTCTTAACCCAAATAATCTCCTCAACACGCTTGTAACCCCAAAGCTCTAGACTGCAAGAACCATATCAATATCACGGAACTTAGCACTCATAACCTCTTCTATTACTGAACATGAATTATATAATTTTGAAAACACAACACCAACTAGAACAAGCCAAATGTTTAACTTCGCCACCAATCAGTACAAGTCAAGTCTGCCCCAAGGTTAACGACACAAGCTTCTAATGTTTTTTTCTTCCTACAGACTTCTATAATGTTTGTTTCAATAATTGTAAAAAAATTCAGCCCTGCCTATTCTGCGGATAACAATTAATAAATCATAGTTCAGGCTCTCTTTGTGTAATATATTTTCTGGATGAGGTAAAAGTATCATTATAGATATATAGCAAACACTAAGCCCATCACCTAACTGAAACAACTCTGCAAAGATGGTAAACATCACAAGATTGCCATAATGCACCAAAGTAAGGAACAAACAGTTAGACAGAGCCAAAGAGCAAGATGTTTTCAAATTCTAGAAGCTTAATATTCCAACAACACATATTATATCAATTATTATCATCTGTGCGCAAATGAAAGAACCAAGATTGAGCAAGACCAAAGTGAAGTATACATTTAAGGGGTTGTTTGGTTTAGAGATGGGTTATGCAGCAATTAGTAAATGCAGAGATAAGTAAAGTAGGGATTATTTCTTGTTGAATGTTTGGCTTGATATATTATTATTTTCTTTTTGGATAAATCAAGTAATCTCTAACTTGTTCCAAACTGTTAAACTATTGAGTGCATGACCATATATTTTTAAAAGCTTAAGAAGAGAGGAGACACTTGTATTATTTAGGTTTGCAACACACTTCCTCGCATAATTAAGCTGATAATTAACATGATCAAAAAGTCTTTTGGGAGGATACGTAGTTACGAGGTATTCCTCACACTGAGAAGTTATTGCTAGGAGGAGATTCCAATTGTCACATTGGGGTATTGCATGTGTATTAAGTTTGAGGAGGCTAAAGGGGCGATTCACAATACGAGAGGGGGAACAGCAACCAAGCCAAATGAGATTAGTGTAGAATTATGGAAGATCTTAGGCAAAGCGGGTTTGGAGTGGCTAACTGGGTTTTTTAAAAAAAAATTCACGATGACTACAAAGCGCGAAGAATGGAGGTGTAGCATAATGATCCCCTTATACAAGAACAAGGGAGAAACCTGAAATTGCAACTACCCAGTAAGGAAGTTTGGGCAAGAGTGATCACGACGAGGATGAGAAACAATTCGGATTCATGTCGGGGCAATCAACAACACAAGTGATTCACCGTTTGAGGAGGTCGTTCAAGCAATATAGGGACAGAAAAAGAGACCTACATATAGTGTTCATCAACCTAGAAAAGGCATGCAACAAACTCCCGAGTGGTTGATAGGCTGGCTTTGATGTATGGGCTAGAGGGTTGACTAGTTAAGAACTAGCAAATCCAAAATATAAAAGTAGCAAAAATGAGAAAGTTTAGATGGATGTGTGAGCACACTAGAAGAGACGAGATTATAAATGAAGATATATGGGGCAGGGTGGGAGTAACCATCATGGCCGACAAAATGCGAGAAGCGAGACTAATATGGTTCGGCTTCAGCATGTAAAGAGGGAGGAGCATAGATGTTATGGAGAGATGTTAGAGGTTGGCCGTAATAGGTTTTGAGGAGAGATCAAGGGAGACCGAGGAAAAATTGGAGAGAGAGTGATTGACAAGAGATGACACATCTTCAGCTCACTGAGGACATGACCCTACATAGTAGAGCATGCAGGTCGAGGATTAGAATAGATGATTAGTAGATAGTAAAGCATCTTCACTCTTCACAGTGGTAGAGTAGGGTTCTAGGTTGGAGCATTTATCAATTTCCTTACCAATATTACTACTTTATGCTAGCATTATCTTATGCTTCCACACTGTTACTACTGTTGTTTCTTTTATTAGTGTCATCCTTAATTATTTGTACTGTTAGTACTTTTTTACTTCAAGTCGTTTGTCATAGCTTTTACTATTGCATATTTTTTTAAACCATTTTTCCTGAAAACAAATATCTTGAGCCGAGAGTCTACCCGCAAAGATAGGGATAAGGTACTCATACACTCACCCCCTCCCCACCTCCCAGACCCCACTTATGGAAAAAACTACTGGGAATGTTGTTGTTGAGAGTGTACCTACACATTTATGGACCCCCTTTTGTATTTTTTTATACTAGATATGAGATACTATCCACCCTCTTGTACGTGTAAATTGATTTTGACGTTCACTGTAGACTAATGTTGAATTATGTGTGAGAACAGGTTTGCCAAAGATGGGTTGTGATATCATGTTAACTAATTGAAATGCATGAACATCTCATCTAAAGTTTAAGTTG